CTCATCTCTTACTCTCGTTTCTTCAATGAAGACGTGGAAGGGTAATTAACTGTTTTCTCCGACATCTTTAACTAATGGTGCATAGTATAAACAGAATCATGACCTTAAAGAAGAAAAAAATAATAGAAACTGGAAAAAATTCAAGAGGAAATCAAAGGCGCTTCAGAAAATGTTGAAGACTGAAAACAAGCCAGAAAGCGAATAAAATAATTAACTTAACACAATTACTCAAAGTTTCCACGAAAAAGCAGCTAACGAAAAGCTCTAAAAAATTTTAATTAAAAAAACTTGTAAACACTTCTGAATGATTAATTTGAAATAAAATGAAAGTTAGATTTTATGTATAGAAGTATCCTGTTCATTTAGCTAAATTATAGCTCAATCGAAAGAATAACTAAATAGACTAAAATACATAGACCTAACAGTAGGCACATGTGTATAAGGTAAATAGACAAAAAAAAAAATATGGATGGACAGTTTGATAAAAGACAGAATCATAGAACATATTCTCACACAGACGTATAAAATGACCAAAAAGAAATGGGTAGATGGACAACAGTTATACAGATATAAAGCGGTAGATAGACAAGCGAAAGAAAACTAGACAAAACAAGAAGGATATAGACTCAGATAAATGTGAAATGTTCCACCGTGACTATATCGACTTAGGTTGTTATTACTTTGTATAAGAATATAACTGGATGTACCAGAACTGCATTTTAACCTTATTTGGAATTATGTAAGTAGTGCAGTGCCACAGAAAGATGATCATTTTTAGGCAAAATATTAATAAACTTTAATCATAAATTTGTGTTCATATCGCTATAACAACGAACATGCTCAACTTCAATAATACTCTCTGATTGCAGATCAATTACTCACTGTCCACACACACATTGTCTCTACACGTTGTCACCCTCTTATATATATACCAGACTACCCTATATCTAGTAATCTCCCGAAGGTTCGAGAGAACGGGTGGCGTGACACTAGTCACGTGACCTCGCTGACGCAACAATAATAAAATTACACAAAACCAGAACTAATGTAAAGTAAAAATGAATAATAAAATCTGACTGTTCGTAAGCATTCTGTCAATTAGATTATTTATGTTGAGAAAGCTTACGTGTATCTCTTTTGAGTTTTATACAAAATCAGCTTGTTGTCGGATAGTTATTTGAAAAGAATCGACAGAAGTTTGGTTTGTTTGAGTTTCGCGCAAAGCAACAACAGGGCTATCTGCGATAGCTGTTCCTAATTTCGCAGTGAAAGAGGGAAGGCAGCTAGTCATCACCACCCACCGCCAACTCTTAGGCTGTTCTTTTATCAACGATTAGTGGGAGTGACTGTCACAGTATACTCCTCCCCCCAACCACACACACACACACACACGGCTGAAAGGGCTAGAATATTTGGTGGGACGGGGATTCAAACCCGCGAGTCGAGTACCCTAAACACCTGGCTATGGTCTACAAAGGAGCAAGTTCAATGAAATTGATGCTCTTTGATTTTCATTTATATCTTGCAACAGGAAATGGGGAACTTCATTTGTATATGTCTTTATAGATCAAAATACATTTCAGCGTTAGGTCATTTTCAAAGCTCTGATTTAAGTTTCTCGTTTTCTTTAGCGTACAAGAACAAGAAATATCTTAAACCTATGCAATTATTTAATACCGTCTCTCTTAAGATCTCACGGTCAGTCAGTCGGAAATATAAGAGCTTACAACAATAAAATTCGGGTTCGATTCCCTATGGTGGAAAGAGCGCAAATATCTCATTGTGCAACAATGCGCTAAAAAACCAATATCAACTTTCCTGAAAGGTTCTTAGAGGTACCACTGTAGTGATGGGCGACATCGGACTTTTATACATAGATATTTTTTAGAAACTATATCGATATATATAGAAAATTGAGAGGGTATAACGTCGTCGAGCGCCGAACGGAGAAGAATATCGTGGTTACATCCCTTTTATGCTTCTTTGATGTAGTTTCCGGTACGCATGAAGTACGTACATGCATTTAAGTAATATTTTAATTTTGTTTTGTTTATTGATATTTGCAAGTAAAAGTTAAAGTTTTATTTCAAAGTAAAAAAAACTACAAAGATATTATTACTTGATAATTATAATGCATAAGAGGACAAACACGCTTTTGTTGATGGATATGGGATTTTGAAGTAAAACACACACATAGTGAATGTGAACCAACATAAGCTACCATACATGATATGTCTCTTTAAACATTATATACAGAACATGCGCTTTCTTTTGTTTAATATTTAAAATATTAACAAAAACATAAACTAACAAACAACAAACCGATATGTAATGTGGTTTTGGAGCATTTGTTATTAAAAAAAAAACTTTACGTAATATCACAGAATCATCATCGAATATCAACAGCAGTTTGAGAGATTTCAGCCTC